GATTATTTCATTTCTACTGCTTCCGACGGCAACACTAAATTTCATGGCTTCTTTACTCTGAATTGTGGCCATTCGCGATTTATTTCCATCTGGCTAAAGACATTAGTACATTCGAATAATAAACGCAGACTGTTTGCACTGTCGGTGTTTCATTTTGTAATCAGCAAATGGTCATTGAGATATTTGAATTAAATTGCAAGTACAGAAGGCGACAATAATATTCGAAAGACAAATCTCTTCCTTTCTTTACTTATTAAGGGAAAAGAAAAAAAAAGAAAAAATCCATAAAATGATCTGTCAACCTTGTCTGACTGGTTATTTCTTCTAACGCCTGCCGGGTAGCGTTATACCTTCTTCTTCATCACTCTCCACATCCTCTTTGTTTTGTTTTTTTGCTACTTCTCCCAGACCCTGTTCTGTCATCCACTTGCTTAAGCCAGCTAGGTATGTCACGCTTTGCTTTCCCATGTCCCTCCTTCCATCTTTTCGCCCTGTGAATATCTGATTTTCCAAGCCTTCTTTTCTCATTACATGTCCCACAAATTTCAGCTGCCTCTCCCTGATGTTAAATATAAGCTTTCTCCTTGTTTGCATCCTCTCCCAAATCTCATCGTTGCTCACATGTTCGGTCTATGGTATCCTTAGCATTCTTTTATAGAACCATACCTCTCTTTGTCGCCATATTTTTTACAACGTTTCGACCGTTGTACGCTCCGGCCTTCTTCAGGTGGTGGAATGTCGAACTGAACCCTTTATTTCGTTCACTGTTGTAGTTCCACGTGCCATGTTTAAGGGACGTCAGTTATCAGTTATCTCCTGTTAATTTTCCCTCTGAAAGTTCTCCACTGCCTTAACTGGGTATTGAACTCACACTCTTTTGGTCCTGTCACTGTCCTGTCGTTCAGTTCGACATTCCGACCACCTGAAGAAGGCCGACGCGTACAACGGCCGAAACGTTGTAATAAATATGGCGACAAAGATGAGGACAATAGTCCGAATAATGTAAATAATGTACATAATACCTCATCTCAGAAATATAGACAACCATACATTTCCTCTAGTCTCTTTTTCATCTTTGAGGAGACCGTCCAACATTCCCTGGCGTAAATGAGGACAGATATCACGTAGCAGTCCAGCCCTCTTTTCTTTGTTACCAACAAAATCCTCCTATCTCGTAATACTCTGCCTAGCTTTTGGAATGGGTTTTTGGCCATCCCAATACGTTTTCGGATCTCAATGTCGCACTTTACGTCCTCTGTTGGAACACTTCCTTGATATTTAAATTTCCGCACCTGATTTTAATCTTCCTGGCTTGTAAATCGCATTTCAGTCTCAACTATTTTTGCTGATGTCCATGCTTTCTATTTTCTTGTAATTTATGCTTAGTCTCTTCTTCTTGCTCTCCTTCGCTACCTTCTGCAGGGGGAGGTTGTAGTTTCCTTTACGTGTCTGCTATCAGCACTGTGTCATCTGTATATCTTTTGTTGTTAAGATTGTGGCCGCCAATGATGAATCCTGATAAGAGGGAAAGATGTAAAACCTATTTTTCTTTCTCTCATGAATCTCTCTTCAACCGCAGAATACCGTAGAGTGAAGATGTGTCTTTTTTTCACATTCGGGGAGCTTCTTAACCACAGGCGAACCATGTTTCGCATATGGAACACACGAATTCCTTTTGATAAAACCTCAGGAAACCAGAATAATGCTATCCTGCCACAACAACCTCTCACACAAATAGGGGAGGAATATGCGGGTATAAATCGAAGAAATAAACACTCTTCAACACGGCTCTATAAATTAAAAATATTTTTTTTATTATTAAGTATTAACTTTCTTTCAAATTGACAAATAGGAAAGATCCTTTGCGAAACAACTTGAAACAAAATATTTTTGTTTGTTTTTCTTTACAATACAACAGAATCAATTGCGTTAGTAGGATAAAAATAGAGTGCGACGTGTGAGAATGTGTGCGTCACGTATTTAAATAGTTTTATCTATGCGTGTTAATTTCTAGTAGCAGCATTCCAGCAGTCAATGAACGATGGTTGCATTAATATTACTGCTAAAATATGTGTAGACAATAACTAGGTTCGTAGGTTTTTTGTTGTTTTGTGTGTGTGTGTGTGTGTGTGTGTGTGTGTGTGTGTGTGTGTGTGTGTGTGTGTGTGTGTTTCTTAACACAACATCACTAAGCATTTTTGTAATATAATATACGCGAATAAATATGCAAAAATTTGATTAATCAATTAATGTTTGGGAATTTCAGCTTTTGCAACATCAAACGACCCTGGTCAAAGGGTAACTGAAAAACTAATTTATGAGAACTAAAACGATGGCTTTTATAACCGAGAAATCGGCTCCAAAAATACAAAGAAATAGTGTAACAACGCTTGGACAGTATTTTTCAGGCCTGACGATTGCGCTTAAGCATGAAACAGACAGTCATCTCTCGGATGTAAGAACAAAAAAAACAATAATGAAGGAAACAATCAAATAAAAACATATCTTTCCGATATATGGCTAGACATGTAATCGATTTCTCTTGGCGTCCAGCACAGATTTCGCATGTCGGGTCAATAATCGATTAAAAGACGCTTTGTTATTTTAGCGTGAAATTGACAAACATATTGGAGATATATTGCCTTTTGTTTTGTTTACTGAGGTCACCAGGTACCAATTTCCTTAATATGCATGTCTTTTCTAATTCATTTTTAATGCGGTGTGGGTGCAGCTCAAGAGATTTATCCCTTGTTTTGAAAATTAATGTAAACTTAAAACACATTCAACGGGAATTGGATTTTGAACTGACCCGCTTTTAGACATTAGAACAGATATGAATCACATTTTCAGTCACAAACTTAACTAAACACTGTACATTTTTCAATCGGTGTTCTTCTGATGCTTACGTTCCAACTTTGAACTCAACCGGGAACAAACAGAATATGTTGGATCCATTGCAAGTTCAGCTGATAAGAAAGTTGGTTCATTTTTTTTCTCCAAGACCTATCTTACATATCTATATGTCTACCATTTTAGCATGCATAGAATATCGTTGCCACATGTGGTACGGTCTACCGGTTATATATTTAAAGATTCTTGATAAAATCTAAAGAAACAGCAATTATTATTGGTCCTGATTTGGCATCTCGCTATATCTCACTTTCCCACCACCGTAAAGTTGCTTCCCTTTTTCTTTTCTGTAAATGTTTTTTATGATACTTGCCATGATTAAGTTTCCGCTAGGGTACCTAGACTTTATTAATTTAAGCACAGTTCTAGATTAGCAACAGATTCTTATCTATTTACAGTTGAATTGACTAGATGTAACCGTAAGTTCTATGCAAACACTTTCCGTTCTCGTACTTCACGCTTGTGGTACCCACTTCTGTTTCCTATTTAACTTTAACCTTCCAGTTTAAATGCAATGTCAATCATTATCTACTTTCAGATTACTATTCTATTACTCTCAATGTTTCTGCTTTCTAATTATTTGGCACCCAGTAACCCCTCGTAACTTTACTGCGATGCTTGGGGTAAATCCGATTAAAAATAACTAGTTAGTGTAATAACGGACAACGGAAAATGCGACACAGAAATCAGTAGGTGTATTGGAATAGCAAAAGATGACTTCCAAAAGCTAAGTAAAGTAATAACTTAGAGGAAAAGTTCATTATGTACAAACTTGAGGAAACAGATATTTGCAATCAACAGGCGTATGCTGAAAGCGACATAGACGGAACATGTGAGAAAAGCAAAAGTTTATAGGAAAATGGAAACCAAAATTATATATATATATATATATATATATATATATATATATATATATATATTAAAATTAGAATTAGACAAATGATATATCTCGGATATATTTTTTTAAAAAAAGATATTCACCCTATACAAAGCCCAAGAGCCACCCAAGGTAGAAGGTTACATAAGGAAAAGTCTTTATGACCGGAAACTTAATATGAAACAGGAAACAAGGGATATACATCTCGATCCTGACTTGGAGTCTAGACTCCAGTCACTTTCTCATCTACATAATGTGACTTCCCTCTGTCTTTTCTATAAATATTTTCCTGGCATCTGCTCTGAAGAGCTATTTTCACTGGTGTTCCAATTGCATGAATTTAAGCCTGCTATTAGGTTGGCATCTCGATCCACCCTTTTACTGTCGAAACAGTTGAATTTAACCGCCTCTTTTACTCCAACAGATTCTTCTCTCGCACTTCCCGACAGTGAAACTCCCTTCCTGTTATTTGCTTCCCTGATCGCTATAATCTTCAAAGATTTAAATGTAGTGTCAATGGAGATCTTCTGTTGCCTTGATTCCCGTTCTTTTTTTTATCCTCCTTCGTTCGCCTTTTTATCCTTTCCTCCCCCCCCCCAATACCCTGTCTTTTCCTTTACTTACACTCTCTTTATCCACTTGCACACTAGTGGCACTCCCGCCTTTCTTGGGGTGAATTGCTTAAAAAAAAAAAGAGACCCGGTAGAAGTTTGAACCGGACGACAAGCGAACCTACCTACACATGTTGAAAAAAGAAAGGGTAATTCTATAGTAAATGAAAGTTCTGAGTTTTAGGCGGAGACGTTAGAAGTATGGAGTTGAGGCAGACTATAGAAGGAACCCGAAATCCAATCTTAAATTGGAAACAAGGAATAAACCTCTGCTTCTGTCCAAAACACCAGGGCGGAGTGTGAACTGAGTGATAGGCGTAATGCGAATATAGAGCTTGAAGTATTTGAAACTTACAAGATATACTGAAAGCAAAAGGACAAGGAAATATCAAGTGACCTACCTAAGTAATTTGTGCAAATGGATGGCAGAACAGGAACTGAAAGGGATACTAAAGAGACAAACGTAAGTTAGAACTATATAGGATAGGAAGTTGTCGAGCGCCATGACCGCTTAGTTCCTAAATGAACATGGCACATAGAAAAAGTATGAAGAAACGGGCGTGAGCTATCGAACGCTCACTCAAAGGCAAAGAACCAGAAAATCATCGGGTTATCAGGTTAACATATTTGAGCAGATGGAAAGACAAAGGGGTGACAAAGGAGCAAGTATTACTAAGAGTGACAGAATACATAAGGCTATAGGGAGCTTTGATCAGCCATGTCAGAAACTGACATGGCACAGATAGATAGATAGATAGATAGATAGATAGATAGATAGATAGATAGATCAAAATTCCTGTCATAATGATAATGGAGCACCTAGACGTGCTGTAATAGTTCCAAACTTGTCTCACTAGAACCACTACAACAAAGTAGTGAGTTTGATCCACACTTCGTGCCCCATACTTTTGGCCGTGTACCACATGTAAGCTTTGCTTAGAAATATCACCATAATAGTAATCATAATATTAGCCATTTTCTTATAAATAAATATTTAGTATTCATTAACCGAGTAGCCAGTGCTACTTTCCGTTGAAATTTCTAACATTTTTTAGGAAACAAACATAAACATTTTTTAGGAAAATAGGAATAAATTCAAAGGTAAAACTTTTTTCTGCCTGGTCTAGACCCTTTTTAAGAAAAAAAATGACAATTTTATGAACTTTCATTCAGAAAGCTTTAACAAAATTTGTATTAAAAAAAAACATTGTGACATTGTTTTACATTAGTTCAAGACGAACGGCAAAAATTGTGGAATATTTTTAAATGCTGCATCCGTTCGGACCATAAGAAGTCATGGCTCTCCACGGACTCCATGTTTTGTTTTGTTTTTTTGTGGGGGGGTGTTTTTTGTTGTATTTTTTTTTTTTTTTTTTTTTGGTTATTCATTAATTAATATGACCTTTTTGCAAATATAACACAGTGGTTTCTTTTTCCTGCCCTATTGTTTTGAATTCATTCTCTTAGACCGACTGCCACGCAATAATAAAGTGTTCAGTCTACCCTGCTCTTTAACCCTTAGCTGAGAAAAGATGCATTTATGCCTTTCTTTGTGAAATTGAACGGAAAAGACTAGTCCGGAAGATGTACTTGGCTCATTGTTTGTAAGTTCTGCGCTAATAAATGTTACATTAACTCTATATGTTACATATTCATTTTGCATGAGTCTCCAAACATTTTATTGGCTTTTACTTCAACATAGACGTAAAGGTAACTATTCGAATATATATGGAAGAAAAATTCAATTTTATAAGAATTTATAATATTTGAAAAGTTTATTAACATCTCTCTTGTTTATCTGTTTTTGTTTTGTTTTGTTTTGTTTTGTTTTTTGTTTAAAAAAATAATAAAGAAATAAATAAAAGATTCATCAGAAACTTTTTCTTTTACGAATTCCACCAACCCATGAGAGCTATTACCGCAATCGTATCGTCGATAGTATGCCAAACATCTTTGTTGTACTTTCATTCCCAGGTTTCATCCTTACCTATTTCCCCCAACAATTCATCAAACTGCCGAAAATGTTTTTCCTCTCGTTCTCCGACTGACCTGTTCTCCTCAATGTCCGACCCCATTCACGCGATTAATGCTGATTCCAACCTTCACTCATTTAATCTGGCCCTACCTACCCAACCACAGCCAGAGCGCACACTGCAGTGTCCATGATTAATGACCGGGGTCGTGTTTTGCTCGGGAATATAAACAACTTAGTTACCTTCATCAAACCTGAGATCTAATCACACTTTATGGTCGGTCAGCACAGGAGAGAGCCCATATCATTACTCATGTCTGACTTGCCAATGTCATGATGACGTTTTATTTAATACTGTGATGAAGTCAACCTTCCAACCCACAGATGGTTTCTTGGTTTAATTTCAAGACATTTCTTTTCGTTAATATCAAAGCTGCAATGCCACTAACATTCATATTAATATGGAAATGCGTAACCTAAGGTAAAAAGCAAAAATGAAACGATCAACTGGGGAAAATGTTTTAGGTCTTAAATTAATTTCTATATTAGTGGTTGTAAGAAATTATATTTATAGTGTCAGCTTTGGCGAATGCTTACAGAAGCAGTAATATATCAAGTCTACATCGTAAGTATCTAAAAATGTTAACCTTCAACCAATGTCCTTTCTCTCAGAAGTGTTCCAAAAAACAGTAGTCAAGATTAACTTTCCCAAAACTAATAATCTAAACTATAATCTGAAATGCAATTAGTGACAAAACCTAGCCTCAAAACATCATAAAAATTCAAGACTGTTCTCCTCATTTTTTTATTTTTTTATTTATTTTTTTTTCTATATTCACGACGTTTCGGCTGTTATACGCTCCGGCCTTCTTCAGGTGATTGGATTTTCGAACTGAACCACCGGTGTAGATCGTTCTAGTTCCACGTGCCATAACTCTTCCGGATGTCTCAGTTATCTCCCTTTAACTCACATCTCCCAGTTTTTGATCACCACTGCAGTAGCCAGGTATTGAACTTTCAACTCTTTGGGTCCACTCACTAACCAACGTTTTTTACCCACTGGGTCACGTGTCCTAAAAGCTCTATATGGCAACATTTATATCTGATATTAAAAAGAAATGTGTTTTTAGCAATAATCATGGGAAGGAACGGAGAAGTGCCTAGCATGAATATACACTTTAACGAATCTTTTTTTTTTTTCTTGGGAAAAGTGCAATTCAAAAAACGTCTTGTTACATACTTTACATTAATTGTCCACAATATGTTAACACTGTAGACTCCCTTGTGAAGTATAGGGCCACAATTTCACCATACTAGGGGTTTATGCTTTGGTTTTCGTAGCGAACAAGGTTTTAAATTTTCAGTTCCCGTTACCCTTCTCTAAGACTGTTCACCAACGAAATCATGGGGACCTAGTGTGCCATCCTATTAACCCCTTTGTGTGAAGAGATTAATTGAAACCTTCGCAAGCTAGTTTATGGAGAGTTCAAATTATATCAGAGTTCGTTGTGCTAGTGTTCGCAGGCTGATGTTGGCACTGTTTGAATCATACCCGCCGATTATCTGTGATGTGTTACATAGCAGTCGGGCGACAGTCTGGTAAAATGTTGTCTGACATGAAATCGCATAAGAAGCAGAGGTGCATCAAATACCTCCATGAGGAGGAATCTGCACCCGTTGACATTAACTACACTTTCTGAATGTTTAAAAAGTGGCTGCGTTCACTTATACGCGTTCTATAATGCAATTCAGAACTGACAACAGCGATACAATTACGAACACTTGTTCGTCTTTGGTGGAAATACGTAGCCAGTGATGTCAATTCTTCTTTATGTGTCATTTCTTCTCAGAACTTGACCTTTGCAGCTCTGAGTAACTTTTGCCAGTTTGCTGTCCTTCCTCGTCCCATTTCTGCCAACCATTTACATTTGGTAAGTTATTCGCTGTTTTCCTCTGTTCCTCTTACCTTCAAATACCCTATAAGTGTCAAATTCTACAAACCTTCTTTTCTCACAATGTACCCTAGAAATGTGTCATATAGAAAGAAAATGCGTAACTACCGACACCGAGGTTCGAGCGTGACACTCTGGACTTATGAATATATGTTTTCCGCCAGGTGTATAAACAGCGGTGTCAGGCTACTGACTGGAGTGATTATCAAGTGATTATTGAGTGGAACGATCAAGTCGAATTAGTGTGAATTATTGTGCGTCGATGATTTGTGAATTGATTTAGAATTTATCTGACGTTAAGCCGAACCGCACTACTAACAAGGTATTCACTGAAATGGTTAATTATCTTTGATTGACTTTTACTTCTTTGTTCTTGTTGAGTATTTATTTGTGGTTGTAATTAAATACTATTTTATTTAAGTCCTGAGTTATACTTAATTATTAACGGCCACCGAATGACACAAAAATGTCAATTGTCGCATTTCTAATTATGCGGCCTTTTTATTTCCCTTTTCCTTAAAAGTCAATCGTTGCTCACGGTATAAACAACTCATGGTATGCTCAGCATCTTTTTGTAGAACCATATTTCTGTTGCCTCAAATATATTCTTCGTCTGCGTTGTCCAGCATCCATTCTGAAGACTGATACTACATAGAATTCCAATCCGATTTTCTTTCGTTTTAAAGAAATTTTCCTGTTTCTTAATACTTTGCTTAACTGTTGAAAGGCATCTTTCGCTTTTATAATACGCCTTGAGCTTTCGGTGTCACATTTTCCACCCTCTGTTAAAATACTTCCTAGATATTTAAATTGTTGTACTTCTGCTTGATATTGGTATCCCCAATTCGTAGATCGCATCTTGAGCTGTTCCTCTTGCTGACAACCTTATATTCTGTCTTCTTACAATTGACGAATAATTTCCTAAGTGAAAACCCCTGAATCAATCAATAGTGGTATTGTGTTTGTAGCTTTCGTAGAAGAAATAGAGAGCATTACTTTCGGGTCGTTCTTGCTTGGTTGGATTCGGACATTTTCGTATGGATCTAACGTTAATTAAACTCTACATGTAGGATTTATGTATATCAATTTACACACATATAAACATATGTGTATGAATTTATCGATATATAGATTACTGAATGCTTGAATCATGTTTTGTCATTCTTTGAAGGAAGAGTGGAGTGCTTCCTTGTTGCCTTTCTGACGCTGGAAAGTCTTCTTGCAGATGAAGAAGAGACTTCAAGCGAGAGAGATGGATTTCTACTAAGAAAATACCAAGTGAGGAAAAGAAGACTATAATGAGGAATCTGAGCCTGGAGAATTTAACACTCACCAGACATGTTGAAAGCATGGAAAGCAAGGGGAAAACAGTCATGTATCGAAAGATACATGATCGCTTAAGCGTGCATCACACATGGCACATAACTGACTATGGGTAAATAGCAGGACAGACTGTATTCTATAGCCTTAGGTGGCAACTAGTTTACCGCAAAAGAAATGGCAACCTACTGCGGGAAAAAATATGTCTCATCAGTCATGTATCGAAAGATACATGATCGCCTAAGCGTGTATCACGCATGGCACATAACTGACTGACTATGGGTAAATAGTAGGACAGACTGGGTTCTATAGCCTTGGGTGGCATCTAGTTTACCGCAGAAAGAAATGGCAACCTACTGCGGGAAAAAAATCTGAATTGTCAGTCATGTATCGAAAGATACATGATCGCCTAAGCGTGTATTTCGCATGTCACATAACTAATTGACTAATATGCGATCTATCGCTAAAGATGCTGTAAAAATGTTTGGCTCGCTGTACTGCTCCAGTAAGTACCTGACTCCACCTGGTATGCTCTATTTTACAAGACCAAAA